GCATTAGCCACCACAAGAAGCCTCTACTCCATGACCCACCCCCTCTCTCCCTGCTCATAAGTTTCCTATCTTCTTCCATAACACCTGCTTAAGTGTCGGATGTTTCAGCCTCTTGCACACACAGGCTGTGCAGGAAAAGGGAGCCCCTAGACCCTTTGTCTCCCCTGATTACACCCTTTCCCTCCATTTCTCCATGACTCATGCTCCAGCTACTAATTAAAACCAGGAAACAAGCTGGGGGAGCAGTTAGGATTATTTTAGAAACCATGCTGACTTTGGAGGGCACCAGCCTCTCGTCACCATAGAAACAAGGGCTTTAAAAAAATATGTTTCCCACCCTTGTCTGCATTTCCCCAGCGTATTTGCTCCCCATCCTAGGAATCTTCCCATCTTATCCCACTTATCCCACTTTCTGAAAAGTCTCCTCTGAAGAAAACATACTTGCTCCTCACTAGAACAGCATTATGAGTTGGGGTTCTGGTAACACATATTCCCTTAAACTACTAGGTGATTTGAATTACCGTAATGATCAGATTGAAAGCCTGATTCAGCTTCTCTGACCTGCCTGGAAGGACTCTAAAAGAACTGGATAGTTTGCTGCCTTTAAATTCCCTTCTAAAACCCTCCCCCCCCCACAACTCTTTTGGCCATGATTGCTGAAAACCAACAGCGGTTTCTTGACATTTTAAGTGGGAAGAGATTAAAATGATGCTGCGAAACTGCAAAAATCACTGCAAAAAAAAAAATCAGTTAAAAAAAGCAAAAAATGCAAATTCCTCCAAGAACCATGTCTGCCCATTGTGACCTTTATAATCCCAATTGTTTTCACTAAAACAGTATGGCATACATACGGGTCTGTGATCCTCCACAGCAGTATTTCTTAACCTCGACAGCTTTAGGCTATATGGACTTCAACTCCCAGAATTCCCCAGCCAGCATCCTTCACCATCGACATAACTGAATAGGAATGCTGGCAGTAAAATAATTTGGGGTGGGGTGGGATTTGCACATATTCTCTCTCCCGTGTATACACAAGTGGTGTGCATGGAGTAATACCAGGGGTGAAATTTACTTACCTTCCCTACTGGTTTGCCAATGTGTGCACGCTGTGCGCGCGCTCACAAAAAATGTCGCAAAAAAGTGATGTCATGACATCCACGTGGGTGGGGAGAGCCAGATACAACCGACTGGATTTCACCCCTGAGTAATTCTCAAATATTGTAATGAATAGTGCAGAATACACATACATGCCATTCACCTAAACATTGCTTATTTTCAAATTGATAAAGAATTCTAGAGACCCAGAAAATCTCTGGAGCTGGATCCAAAAACCTGCAGAAAGATTACAGTATTTACTATAAGTACCCACTTTGATGGCAACGTTTCCTTAAACTGCTAAGTGATTTTGTTCTGTTCAGATGTTACCGATTCTTCTGTTCAATTCACCATTATCACTAATAATTTCCATCACTAACGTAAAAGACTGTAATTCATTTATAAAATAGTATTGTATACTAACAAGGAGACTGTACACTCAAGATTGGAGAAAAATTATTTGGACCCCTTTCAGTCAGATTTCAGGCCCGGACAGGGGACAGAAATAGCATTGGTGGATGGTCTCTGGGGGAAGCTGGAAGGTGCATCCATCCTTGCCCTTCTTGACCTCTTGACAGCTTTCAATACTATCGACCATGGTATCTTTTGGGTCAACTTTGGGAGTTGGGGATGGGAGGCATATTTTGGGCTGGTTCACCTCCTTCCTCCGAGACTAGTCCCAATAGGTGTTGATGTGGAGAGAGAGGTCCAACACATAGTCCTTACTTTGTGGGCTGCTGCAGGACTTGGTGCTCTCTCCAGTTCCTTTTAACAGCTACAAGAAACCGCTGGGTAAAATCATCCATCATCATGGGATGAAATATCATCAGTCTGCTGATTTCAGGAGGTTAAACATCTCCATCCCAGGTGAAATAAGTGATGCTGTGGACACTCTCTCATGGTGCCTGGAGAATGTGAGGGCCTGAATGGGGAACAGGCTTCAGCTGAACCTTGGTAAGACAGAGTCGCTGTGGATGGAGGAATATCTGGGAGTTCATCATCTTTGGTTCTGAATAACGATGCACTATCCCAGACAGATCAATTGCATTGTCTGTGGGTCCTTCTGGACTCACAAATCCTGCTCAAGGAGCAAGTGGCAGTCATGACTAGGAGAGCCTTTGCTCAATTTAGTGTTGTGTATCATTTATGCCCCTTCCTGGATACGGAGGCCTTTCACTCACTCATTCATGTCTTGGTCATCTCCCGTCTGGACTATTGCAATGTGCTCTACATGGGGCTACTGTTGAAAAGTATCTGGAATCTTTAACTGGTACAGTATGTATCCACATGAGCAATTTTGGGCAATGAAAATACAGAGCATACAACACCTCTGCTGTGCAAGCTGTATTGGGTGCCAGTCTCCTTCCAGGTCTAATTCAAGGTGTTGGTTATGACCTTTAAATTCCTATATGGCATGGAGCCAGGCTACTTGCAGAACAGTCTTCTCTCCATTCCACTGACTCATCCCACCTGGTCAGGGAAGGAAGACATAATGTGCACCCTGCTAGTTAAAGAATTTCAACCGGCGGGGTTGCATCTGTTCTTTGGAATATTCTCCAGCATGTAAACTTGGGGTTGGGTAATGCCTTAAAGGCCCTCCACTCACCCTTTTAAAACACAAACACACACACACACAAACAGAGAGAGAGGGGGAGAGAGAGAGAGACCATCAGGGTGGAAATTTCTATGTTCTCTTTGTTTTCTCTTGACCCATAATACAGGAATTTGCAGCTGATTGTTTACATGACTGTCTCCTGAATCTTTATCAGGCTGAGAACTGTTACACATATATGGGCTGTCTCTAGGCTTGGTTTCAGATGGAGTTGATCACCTTGAGAAGGTGGAGAAAGTAGGCATTGCCCAGGATTGTATGCATTTCTCTTTTGTTTACCCTACCTTCTGAGAGGGGAAATCAGCACTGGCTTCCTTTCAACATGGTAGAGATATAGTACAGGCTCTGAGATTTGTGATAAAGCTATGTTCCTACATGAAGAAATAAAATTTCTCCACCTAGGAATTTGACATGCAAGGAATATTTCTATCTCTTCACTATGTGAGATCCCTAGTTACAATTTTAAAATGGTACTCTTCTGAGAAGGGAAGAAGTGAGGGTTACAACACTACTGGCCTCTTTGCCAGGGTATGATAACAGTTTTAAAAACAATAGATATTTCTCTCCTCTCAAGAAGGCAGGAAAGTCGATCAATGGGGAAGTGTAGATGAATCTACAGTGAAAACAAGGCCTCAGCTCAAATAGAATTCCTGCCCATTCCTGATCAGTTTTCCTTGATTTCTCTCACTTCTTCTGATTCTCCAGTTCCATTCTATCTCCACATCTACCTCCTCTTGAGTAACCTGTGTGAATGAATCTTAGCCTGCCTGCCCATTCGTGTTGTCTTTCTTTTAGTCTGAATCTTCAACCCATCCTGCAAAGAAGGCACAAAATGTTTCCACAATGTGAAAGATGTGTTTTTGGGCCTTCCCCACACTTACATTAACTCGGCTGCATTGTTTCATTATGATGCCTTGAATCGTACCTCTGGCATTGGGAATTTTGTTTATGCCTGTTTGATGATGATAACTTATTAGGATGTGTTTGATGTGTGGCAAACCTGGCCTTCCAACAAAATCCCAGCTGCCAAACTTCTTTCCTTAGAAGACTCCATTAAGTGGGGTCTCCATGGATCAGATGCCTCAGCTCCCTTGAAGGCCTCTGCTTCCTACCAATGCCTCTGAGGAGCCTGTCCTGCTGCTGGTGGCTTTTGATAGATAGGCAAGAGCTGGAAAGAGATAACTTTCCTAACACGGGAAAGTGGAGCAGAGTTAGCGCAGGAGACAAGCAGCAGGGGGCATTCGTTGCCCTAGCAGCCTTGTGCTGCTGGGTGATCTATGGCCTTTCAAACCCCAGCATGGATTCTTCTGCCACCCTGCTAGGCAGCTGGCAACCCACAATCACAGCTAATTGGCCTCAGTGCAGGTACCTGATTCAATCTCGCCTCCTTATTTATGGAGCCAACCAAGGAGGTGTCACTAAAGACTGGGGGTAGGAAGAGACACAAGCTGGGGAGAAGGGAGGGAGTCAGATAAAAGCCCTTTGATACTGTTCAGAGAATGATGGTGGTAGTGAGGTCAAGAAATAGCAATAAGCACAGCACTTCAATCCCCCTCAAAGGTCAGTTGTTCTTCAGACGCCTTAGCATTGCAAGGCTTTCTACTACCATGATATGCCTGCCGGTACTGAATTGAACAAAAGGAACTGGCAAATGAGGGAGAATGAATCAATCTGTCCTTTATTCAAGCAGTTCATTTAAGAGTTTTGCAGTTCCTTCCTCTGAAATATTGCAGGGATATTATCTATTCCAGTCTTTTGTCCATAAGAGCAGGAGTAGTTAATGATCTCCTAGGCTGCCTTGCGCCATGGTACTGTGTTTCTTGCCAGGGGCAGCTGCATTTCGAGACTGAGCTGCTGGTGCCCGATCCAAGCAGCTGCCCACACGGATCTAGGTGGTTGGTCTTTGCTACCTAAGCAAGAAACGTGGTGCTTGCCATGGAAACAGCTGTTGGAAAGCTGCTGCTGTGTATGTTTCTGTTGCTATGGCAATGTTTCCTGGCAGCAGCCCTGTACATTGTCACTCCCCCTCCTCCAAACTGTCATCTCCCTGCACCCCCTCATCCATCCCAGCAAATTCCTAGCAACCTGCCGCTACATTAGCCTTGTGGTTGGCCTGCCCAAGCACTCACTTGGCAACCCCAGCCACGCACTCCACTGAGGGTGTGACCTGGAGTCTTGGCTCCCTCTTCTCTCTAAATTCTAACCTCGCTGCTCCCAGAGTTGAGGATAATAGTCTGGGGAGGGCATATGCAGCCCTTTGGGGGGGGCTGTCTAACTTGTGACAGGGACCTACCTCTCTCTCCCCAGCAGCTCTAGGCTTGTCTCCCAGCTCAGCTCCAACATATGAAGGCGGCATTTTGGGTCTCCGCATTTGTAGCACCAGATGGGATGGGACGATGACAAGGAGGGACTGCAAACAGCTCTCTCCCCTCCTCCACCTGACATCACAGGAATGTTATGTAAATGGGGGAGTTGTCACTATTCCTTTCTCTCTGCACATACACTGGCACTGAAGACAGGAGGACAGAACTTGCTGGGGGGGGGGGGCGGAATGTTGCACAACAAAACTGAGGAGAGATGGCTCAACCACACATTGGGTCTGATTATAAATTTTGCCTCTCCCTCTTCCCTCATCAGCAGGACCGGCTTCAGATTTTTGCAAGCCCAGAGAAGTCATCTGTCCTTCAGTCCTAAAGGGTCCTGCTCTGAGAATATGCTGCTCGCTGCTGCTTAATCCAAATTTCCCGCATTTTAAGATGTTTGTGAATACTTGGGAACAATGGGAAACAAATCAGATCTCAGGTTTTGCAGGCCAACACCCTTGTAAAACACAAATTCTGGTCCAACCATTCAGAGACACTGCTATTTGCTCCTGAAGGGCTACAGCCTACTAAACCCCTAAAACTCTCTCAGTGTTTTCACAACCCACATCTTTGACATGGCTCCCAATAGTGAGATTTAGAAAGATGGGGAGTCAAACTGAAGGAGAGCTTGACATGAACAACCAAGAAACAGGTGTGCAGTCTGTTGATAACATATTTAAGAGACATGGTGGCGCAGTGGTTAGAATGCAGTATTGCAGGCTAACTGTATCCACTGCCAGGAGTTCAATTCTCATCAGGCTCAAGGTTGACTCAGCCTTCCATCCTTCAGAGGTCGGTAAAATGAGGACCCAGGGGCAATATGTTGACTCTGCAAACCACTCAGAGAGTGCTGTAAAACAGGGGTCCCCAACTCCCAGGCCGCAGTCCACTATTGGGCTGTGGCCTGTTCAGAACCAGGCCTTGCAGGTGGGCCAGTGTGCATGCCAAGCTCCCCTTGCACGAGCGGTGGCTGGCTTTGCTCACGCATGAAGCTTTCCTTGTGTGAGTGGCAGCCACTTGCACTCACATGCGAAGCTCCCTTCACACAAGCAGTGGGCGCATGCACCTGTCGCTCACACAAATGGAGCTGCTTGTGCATGCCTGCCTATTACTCACAAGGAACTATCCCCTCTCCCTCCACCCTGCCAGGCCACCAAGCCAGAAAGGTTGGGGATTGCTGCTGTAAAGCACTGTGGAGCAGTATGTAAGTCTAAGTGCTATTGCTATTTCATCCAGATGGCCCGAAAAGATTTTTTAAAACATTCCTAGAAACTCTACCTTAACAAACTCACGAACAGATGAGTCTTGGAAATATTTCCAATATTTACACCTAATACTAGCATTTAAACTGCTTTTCTCTAGTCGGTGTAATTCTTGCCTCCTTGATCTTGTCCATCTTTGTGGGACTTGAAACCAGTAAGGACAGGCATTGTAGCCTTTGCTTCTGGTATTTGCCAAATGCTGATGCAGAAACATTCAAGGCAGACTGATTCCTTTTTCCCTAACTCAGTGGATTTGATCTTGAGGCACCATGGATTTCCTAAGAGAGATGCTTATACTGCTGTAAACTCACTTTATACAGCAATGTTCCCATTACACACCATTGTGGCACAAAATGCTACCTGTTTTTGTAGCAGTCTCATCAAGAAAGAACACAAGCTAGACAAACTTGATCGCATTCCTCTATAGTACTCATCATGCTACTGTACCCTATTACTGCACCCTATTACTGCACCCTATTACTGCCTGCCCCAAAGCATCACATTTCTGCTCCAATGTTTTTATTAGTAAGGAAGGTTCTTGCTTTGCCATAACACACAAAATAAGTGGAAGCAGGCCTGCTATGAGGCAAGGATCAGGCAACTGCCTTAGGCAGCTGAATATTAGCTTCAGTTAAGCCTGGCCAAACTGGAAACAGATAGCTGTAACCTACTGTATAAATCTGTATTCTGGAATAGCCATATAAATAAGCCTAGTTGACAGGATCTGTGCAAGGACACTATAGTATTCCACTTCCTAAGCTCATGGTTTCTTGCTGTTTCTTTAGAAACTGTCAGATCTGTAGTACCCATAAGCAGCCAGAAAAATTGATGCAACGGTGAGAAATAATGGAAGCAAAAGTAGGAGGATAAAATGTGGCTTGTAATTAGCAACGTGTTTATAGAGAAAGATGAAGCAGAATGACACTCCCTTGGGCTTCAACTGTTGCTGCAGGGTGGTGAAGTCCCATCCACCACCAAATTTAGAAAGGACTTTTTGTTTCCTTAGAAAGACTGAGCCCTGCCTAGCAACTCCAGTAGCTGGCACTGATTCACTTACTGTTGGAAGAGGAAATATGCTAGCTGTTTGCTTCTCCAATGGCAAATCCCCTAAAAGAAGATAAAAGTGTCCCCTCACCTTACCTGCGCCCACTTTTGGCTGAAGGCAGGATTAGAGGAAGCCATGCTAGAGAAATGATTGTCAAACTGGAGACAGGGCTCTTCAGCAAGTCATTTCACTTCCTGGAGGTCCTGTGTGGAATGAAAGGATGGCAACTTCTGCTTCTCCTCAGCCTCACTTCTCTTTCAGCCTCTGATTGAGGTGCAAAAAGTGAATCACTAGCATTCCTTGTAGGGGCCAAGAAACTCCCTTGGCTTGCATAAATCCAAGAATATTGCTCCTGGGTTCTGGGGTTGTTGTGGTTTTTAACATTTGGGGGATTCCAGATATTTTAAAGGATTCACTCACCCCTTTCAACTCCTGGAGCCCTCTCCCCAAATAAGCCTGGGCTTCATCCATTTTTAGAATGCAGCCTTTCACATGTATGATATGGTTCTCAAGATGAGAAAAATGGAATATCTTTTCTTTACAATATACTGTTATCTCATGCTAAGTATTCACTTCCACCCCATTCCTAAGTGGTAGCATGCAAGGTAGCAAATGACAAGGTTACAAAACCCAATGCCAAATGTGATTTTGATCATGAAAGGTTATCATGTGTAGGTCGTAAAACTACAGCCATCCACCAGGTGGCAGCAAAGAATGCAGAAACTTCTAACAATTTGCTGCCCTCTGATGATCATTTAGATTTTTGCATCCCTCATATGTTGTCTTAGATAATATAATATAATATAATATAATATAATATAATATAATATAATATTAATATAAATATAATATAATATAATATAATATAATATAATATAATATAAAATATATAATATAATATAATATAATATAGAAAAAAAGTGCAGCATACAGATTCTATCTAAAATAGCTACAGAAAAATTTAGGAAACTGGGTAATGAAAAGCAACAGATCATGTGGTCAATTCACATTCTCATGCGGTTTTTTTGCAATAAGGGAACATAACCTTCTAAACACTCTTGTTTCTTTGAAGCAAACATACAGTAATGCCTGACTTTTTTCAGAACAGATGAAATAATGATCAACTTGATCATACTTGATCGTACTCAACTTGATCATACTCTGCTGCCATGGCAGGATGAGCAAACCACAGCAACAATTTCAAGCATAACCTGCATCTCCAACAATATTTCTGTAGGGCCCACTAAAAGTTCAAAGGCTTTCAGAATATTGTAGTACAGTGGTACCTCGGCACTCGTTGTTAATTGGTTCTGGGAGGTGAAACGATTACCAAAAATGATGAGTACCAAATTTTTTCCATAAGGAATAATGTATTAATCTCAAGACAACCGACACTGACAAGTTCAAGCTTGTGCATTGAGCACCAAACAAATAACGAGTACTGGGACAAAATTTTCACGTCAAAATGAGTCGAGTACCAAATCCAATGACTTTCAAACCAGTCGAGTACAGAGGAACCATTGTATATAAGCAGTCCATCTTCTCTTAAACTGTCAGAGTAGGGAAATAGAGATGTTACTATTATGACTTGCCTTCATATACAGGATTTCATTATTTCTACCTCCCTTTTTGGAGGGGAAAGTTCCTCTATTTATATACTGTGTATAACCTGTCTATTTTTATGCTGTGTGGAATAGTCTGATGATCAATATAACTAAGAATTTGAATGTATTCTTAGAAAATAAAATAGAAGGTGGCTGGTACACAATTCATTTAGCAACCGTTTGAAATTACAACAACACTGAAAAAGTCATAGTCCTAGCACTTACGACCATCATCACAATGTCTTCATGGTCACGTGATCCAAATTTTGGTGGTTGGCAACCAGCCTGTATTTATGACAATTGCAGTGTCCTAGAATCATGTGATCCATCATTTATGACCATCCCAGCTGGCTTCCACCAAGGTCAATGAGTGAATGCAGATTTGCTTAACAACCGCATGATTCGTTTAACAACTGCAGCAATTTACGTAAAAACTGTGATAAAAAGAGGTTGTAAAATCAGTTGTGACTTACCGTACTTAACAATCATCTTGGTTAGCGATGGAAATTCTACTCCTAACTGTGGTCATAAATGAAGGACTGTATAGGGATGTTTTGTGAATGGCCATAATCATGATATGTGAGTTCCCATAAGATTCCCATCGAATTCCCAAAGAGCCCAATGGCCCAAAAGGTTTGAGAACCATCTCTTCTAAAGTCTGAAAACCCAGTCTTATTAAAAACTAGGATACATTTAGCTTGAAAAGAGAAACTGGAAAGTAGTTAGGGCAACCATCTGCCATGCAGAAGAGGGAGCAGATTTGTTCTATATTCTCCAAAAGACATGGTTTAAATCAAGAGATTGATACAGCAAAGCAGACTTCCACAACCTAGTACTCTCACAACAGGTGGAGACTGAAAGTTTTAGCATTTCAATCCTAGACTTTCTAGGTAGGAACTTCTGCAGAATACTGTATTACAAAAGGGGTTAAAAGAAACTTCTTAATCATGGTATTTTTCTTTCATTGGAAGTATTTAAAACATAGCTTGGCTTGACTTCACTGAATGATCTTCAAGTTATCCTCTAAGTTAAAATTTTAAAATCTATGGTTTGGATGAGCACAGACATTATATTTTAGCACATTTATCTGCTGAAGAAGAAAAACCATTATTAAAAAATCCAAAGGAGCTTTCGTTTTCAAATTCTATGTCTGAAAAAGAAAAAAATAATACAGATTCTGCAAATTCAACTTGGCACAGTGATTACTGGCTGACTCCACACAATATTACCATGAAATCTCTCTCAGTCCCACTCCTGATTGCAAGAGCAGTTGCCC